ACAACGGGTTTCGGTTTAGGGTTTAGGGGTAGGGGGTTAGGGTTTAGGGGTTTAGGGTTTAGGGTTTAAGGTATTATTGGTATACTGGTAGGACGTATGGAACCCTAGACCCTACACCCTAATTTAGAAACCTAAAACCCGGAACCCTAATACCCTTTACCCCCAAAACCCAAAACCCTAAACCAAAACTCTTTGAGCCCAAAGCAAGCTGCTATTTACCAAGATTATTCCCTAGGGTTCCTATATTTATATTAACAACGGAGCCCAAAACCCTATTGAAAATTATGAAGGCCCCTACATTATGCAGGAGGCGGTGAAGCTCGAGGCCGAGCTAGCAGGAGAAGAGGGCGAAAGTGCCGAGTGGCGCGAGCACCGGGGCTTCACAAGCAGATTTTTCCACTACAGGGTTTAGGGTTTAGGGGTTTAGGGGTTTAGGGGTTTAGGGGTTTAGGGGTTTAGGGGTTTAGGGGTTTAGGGGTTTAGGGGTTTAGGGTTTAGGGTTTGTGGGCTAAGGGTTTGGGGTTTAGGTGTTTAGGGTTTAGGGAGGCGGATTTTTGCTCTACAATTGTTTGTTTGGCGGTGTTTGTGGCTTTTAAGGGTCTTAGGCGTTGAAAGCTTCTGTCGGCTTTTGCTTCAAGGGTTTCCGGGGTTTCGGGGCTTTTGCTCGGGTTCGTGTTTTCAGGATGTTAGGTTTTCGAGGCTTTTCATTCAGTTTTGTGATTTGAATGGTTCTAGGCCACTAGGGGTTAGAAGGTTGAGGAAATAGGGTTTAGGAAAGCAGCAAGCAGAACTCTGACTTCCACCTTTCTCTAAGCACCCTGATGCGCATATTCTGAAGATTAGGATCAGGCTTTTCACATACCCCACTGCCCTGTTCTGATCTACTTGCTAAGGGCCCTGTATCATAGAGCCTGTCTGGAACTCTTACAGTAACCCTTACTAAGGGAAGTCAATTCCACCGATCAAGGGGGGTGGGTTGATGAAAGCAGGGCTCGACGTTTCCTCAATTCTGGGAGAAGTTCCCTAAACTATACACGCTTATGCGAGCGCGTTTTGGCACCCTTTACAGGGATTTTTGGCGTAGCCCTATTTTCATCCTTGAGGCCCCTATTTAGAAGAAGTCATCGGTATCAGTATAATCCCCAAACCCAAGTATTAAGTCCCTACCTCGCCCCTCGTCCGAGCTAAGGCTAAAAGCCAAAACCCTCAACTTCCCGAAACCTGTAACCTTGAGACCTTAACCCAAACTTCTCAGCCTAAACCCTGCACCCTAAACCCTAAACGGCCCTAAACCCTAAACGGCCCTAAACCCTAAACCGTAAACGGCCCTACACCCTAAACCCTAAACCCTAAACGGCCCATAACGGCCCTACACCCTACACCCTAAACCCTAAACGGCCCTACAACCCTAAACCCTACACCCTAAACCCTAAACGGCCCTACACCCGAAACCCTACACCCTAAACCCTAAACGGCCCTACACCCTAAACCCTACACCCTAAACCCTAAACCCTAAACGGCCCTACACCCAAACCCTACACCCTAAACCCTAAACCCTAAACGGCCCTACACCCTAAACCCTACACCCTAAACCCTAAACCCTAAACGGCCCTACACCCTAAACCCTACACCCTAAACCCTAAACCCTAAACGGCCCTACACCCTAAACCCTACACCCTAAACCCTAAAC